TGTATTTATTCACTTTTACTGTAATTCTGAACGATAATGAGGTTATCTCCTGAAAATATCACGTCAGAATCACTGCTATAATTGTTTCTTAAACATAGCAGATTTTGAACCAACCCGTTAATAAAAGAACAGTAGTAAATGGGCATAAGAGCACAAAGAGATCCTGATACACCCTTATTATGCACTAGCCAAAGTGATCCCTCTTTGGCTCTTAACCTAAAATAGATTTTTTATTAAACACTTCTCTGCAGCCCGATTTACAAGAAACCATCTGCTGCACCAAGTTCTTAATTTACAACCTGATGCTTGCTTATTCATTTTTGTTAAGCTTTTAACTTTATGTATACCTGGTAAATGAAAGAGCAGATGACTGCAGCTGTGGTCCCAGCCAGCACCAGTCCCTGTTGTTATGGCAACTGGCGCTCGCACAGCCCTGCTTGTCGGCTGCGGCTGCTTCCAGTCCTCCTACTGTAAAGGATGGAAAATTGATTTTCAAAAACTTCTCTGTGAAAGGTTACCTCTGAAACCCCGTATTCTGCATGCTGAGTCTTGGCTAGAGCCTAGCTGCAAAGATGAACCTGGTCCATAAAACTTCCCACAGCTGTCAGCGATCAGAAAATAGTAGAGCAGCAGCATAAGCCAGCCATTTAACCCCGGAGAAAAGAGCAAGAATTATTCATAAATGCGCAACTATATTACAGGCAACTATGCAAGACAAACTGTTAGCCAGCCAGATTGCTAGAGTGTGATAAAACTTCTCCTGTATTCCTCTGATTTTCATTATTTATTTTACAAAGGACTCGATTCTACTACCCCATTTCGTAGCTATTTTGCAAATGTCTTCACTAGGGGATGAACTGATCCTAAATCGCAGATTTCATTCCCGGCAGACCACTGACTGCAGGTACGTTTGCTGATACCATGAGGAAGTTTTTCTCCCAAGTGCATCAGGTGAGTCTGTGTGAAACGTGGATAATTTTTTTCTTTAATATGCTTCAGGAAAAACGTCTTTACTATAGAAATAGTGCAAGGTACAAAGAAGAAAAAACACTTGTCTGTTTTTAAAGGCTTAGCTGGTACTGTGAGTCAGGTAATGATAAAAAATAAACAAATGTTTTATTAGTTGAGGGACTGAACAAGTGAGCCCTGAAGCAATCAATATGCCGCTTTTCAGTTCTGATACAAGAGAATTCTTTTTCATTTGATTGCTACATCATTTAAAAATTAATTATTTTTATTTGCATTTCAGTAACAATCTCCAGCCAAGACTGGGGTCCTAGTGTGCTGGTGGCTGTTGGAAAACAGTAAGGAGAGATCCTGTCCTAAGGCGTTTGCAGCCCATGAAGTAAACTGTGTTTGTAAGGTCTCTGACCACAAGGCGACATGCTGCTTTATCCACTCTGAGGCACTTTCAAGTATAATAAAGAAAAAATAATTGAATACAGCAGCTTAGTCACTGAAAAATGGAAAGAAATAGAAATCAGATGGCTTAAAGCCTGCTTTAAAACAAACAAAAATTTTGTTATAGTCAATATTGAATGGGTTTATAAAGCACTTTTACAGTAGTGGTTTCTGGCGGGACATTATGCATCTTAAGTTACTAGCCTACACATATATACATATATATCGGCCAGGTATCCCAATGTAACACAGCAGGCTATGCAAACGTGTTCCGAAATACTTGACAGGTTTTGTGCAGTTTTTGTTAGTTCAGCCTTTTCCCTGCAGTTCGCTTGTAACCCATGGTGACTGCCCTGGGGACTTGCCTGCTCCTGCAGATTCTTACTTCCCCAGAAAGTCATTACTTGTGCTAACGCTTCCACTTAGCTGAATCAGACCCTCTAAAGAGAAGGCAATTTGTGCAAAGGGTTGCAAGGATCAAGGAACGGTTACTAAGCAGAAATGTAGTCTATTATTTTCCCCAGCTATAGCCTACACAGTAGCTGAATCCTGTGAAAAGTTCTTCGGTCACATAGCAATGGATGTTCTTAAGAGAAACTGCTCTATTGTATGGGCTCTCTGCGAGTCTTGCGGTTTTTCCTCCCTCGTGGAAGCCGCTTGCCCTATGAACAGTACGTACGCTTATCTTCTAGAAGTTGTCTTTCAATTTCACCACCTGCAATGCTTCATGAAGTACTTATTACTTTTCTACCCTTCTTCACCCGTATCAGTTATTTACCCTGTTCATCATTGTCAAAGCCTCAGCAGTGTACTTGCAACAAGTTGCTACCACCTATATTTGTGGCTCTCAGTGACTTGTCATGAACCTAGGAAAAGTTGTCTGTCTTATTTTAGCTATAGTGTAACAACGGATATTGTCCTATATGTCTTCCTGTAAAAAATAGGGAGATTGCAATATTCATTATTAAAATGGATGTAAAAAATCAAGTAGGGAAGTGAACAAATATTCTAAGGAAGGGTCAGCTGAAATAGGAAGAAAGGAAAAGCGAAGGGAAAATTAAAAAACCTCATGACTTCCTTTTTAATTTAGTAATATTTTAGCTTTCAAAATGCTTTAGTAAAGATACAAACATTTGGCTACACACACACATATAGTTCCAATGAGAGCAGACACAGAAAGCTAAATATGCTGGCTGACAGAAGGAGATGGATATAATGAAATTTTGGGGTGGGATGAGATTACTAAGGTCAATACACAGTAGTTACTAACCCTTTCCTCACTGATATGCTTGCTGATCCTGTATACCATACATTCTTTCATCCCTGAGTGATTTACCCCTCTTTCCTTTTAACGCTTTTGGCTTTTTCCTGAAATCTTTCCTTCATCCTGCCTCCACTTCTCTCTCTTCACAGAATTTCACCAATTTATTCCAAGCGAAAAACGACAAAGAACAACTTCATCCTCTTCTCCCCAGCTGCCTTTGGCTGGTCCCCCCTTCCCTGGCTGCCTCCTCCCTTTCTACATCCCAGTTACAGAAATCTACCTGCACTTACGCCAGTGTCACGTCCCATCTCCTCATCTCCCCCATCCTGCTATTATCCCCTCCCTTACTCTTCCCTTTTGTCTCTCACTCTTAGGCAGTTTTCAATTCTCACAGTAAAGGCATGTTTTCCTCTTCACGTCTTAAACCCATACTTGACCTCATTTGCCCCTCCAGTTGCTGCTTCCTCTCCCTTTCATCTGTAAATCCACTGAACGTGCTGTTTCTAGCCCCTGGAGTACCTCTCCTTATTCCTTTCCTTTCCTACCTCAAGCCTTACCCTACAACAGCTCTCAATGAAGTACTTCATGACTTTCAAGGCACTAATTGGGACCAGTGTGTGTTCCTCAGGTTCCTTAAGCTGCTGCCACCACGGCTGTGTTGAAGGGCAAATCTCGCCCTTCCTGAAGTCCTGCCAGTCCTTCCTTTGTTCCTTGTACTAGTCTGTCCTCTCCTCATTCCCCTCCTCTCTAATCTCTTCTGCAAGGCTTTCTTGTAAAGAATTTCTCTTACCCTAATCAGTCTCTATTGGACTTGAGTGTTGTCCTCTTCTCCTTATCTCTGGTATTCTCATCTGTAAACACAAATCGAATTATCGCATGTTTCTAGGAAGAATACTAACTGATCTACCTCTTTATCATCTCCTATTCAATATCAGATCTTGGACTATCTGGCTTCTGTTTATGATGTTTAGGCACCAACTCAAAGTAAACATGGCTAAGATAATGCTAAGCCTGGGTACAGAGGTAACGCTCCCCGTGTTTAGCCTTCATTGCTGGAGACAAGACTGTCAGCTGTCATTCAAGCTTAGTGGCCAGTATCGCCTTGAATCTCTTTAAATTCCTTACATAATCTTCTTTAATACAGCATTTCATATACCGACTCACCTTCAAATTCTCATAATTTCACATGTGATTACTACAAAGCCTTTCTTTAGCCTTCAGGAGTACAACATAGACCCTTTATGACCGCTCCCTCCCCATCGTGTTTCGGTCAGCACAGTCATCATCTCCCTATTCCAGCTGGCCTGTGATGCTCACCTTTCTAGATTTTCACCCCTACACTTTCATGATTTCTTCCTGGTGCTTTGTAGCTCGCTATAAAAGTCTGCAAAGCTACTTCTTTTCCTCTGAAGCTGCCTGTAGGCATTTACTTCATTATATGCAAATTATAATCTTTCTGGGACAGCGACCATTTTCATGTTGTGTTTGTACAACACCGAGCACGATGGATTTCTGGCCCTAGAGTGAGATTTCTAAGCACCGCTGCAATACATAATAATTCCGAGAACATTTTAAACCCCACGTCAGATCAGAGCTCCTCATTCCCTTTCCCATGTCTGTCCCTACCGAAATACCTGAGGTGCACAGCTGAGAACGTACCACGCTGACAAGAACTGAACTGGGAAATTCAAACTTGTAGGTCAGCTCCTGTGCAGCCCGCCATCCGATCAGTTTTCTTTTCTGTGTATCATCCTAACCGGAGGCAGCGTGGAAGAAGGCTGGCATACCACCACCTCTTCCTTATTTTAAACCTATTTCCTAAACGACTTCTGCAGAAAAAGCCACGCATTCCCCAGCAAGAGCCTCAAAGACCAAGTCCTCTTCCCTGCTGGTGACGTGACTACACCGCTGGCGGCATTTACACGCTCTCTCCCACAGCCGAGCGCGGCCGCGGGAGGGTCTCTCGGTCCCGAACAAGCTCTCCCGAGACAAGCCCGGGGCGCGGCCGGCCGGTCTCGGCGCGCTGCCCGGGAGCTGCGGGGCCGGCCGGCAGCGGCGGATGCTCTCGGCGCACCGTGCTGCCGGGGCGAGCCCACGGGGTTTTTAAGCGCAGACTTCGGCGTCTACATTTTGGTTTTGGGTTTGGTTTTTTTTTGGCGGGGGGGGGGTAGAAAAAGACGTTCTCCGAGAAGCAGGCAGAGCGGACAGATAGGTGGATAGGCACACCTATACACACTCGCTGTGTATCTCCAAACACAGGCACGGCTGTTACAGCCTTGCCCCCTCCCCCGC